TACGCCTGTGTTTTGCAAGGCATTAAACTGCGAAAAATGCCTGGCTTTGCGGGCGGTTTCATCGGATTTACCCCCCGGGGAACTCATTTTTCAAGCTCATTTTTTGCGGGTCTTTGGTTCGGAAAAAAGACTAATAGGAGCCTCGTTTTGTATAGTTTCAATCTTTCTAAGAGTTCCATTTTTTTCAAGACGCGATGACAAGCAAAGGCTACTCACTGCTGGCGCTTTTCTGGCTCCGAATTTCATCCATTGTTCCAATTGTTCTTGAAAAAGTCTAAGATTTTTCTGAAAAGCCAAACCTTGGTATCGCATGTGACAGAAAAATGAGAGAGACCCCGAGAGAGAGAGAGAGAGAGAGAGAGAGAGAGGGAGAGAGAGAAAGAGATAGGTTACCTTCAAAACCGATGGAGAATTAAATACCTTTGCGCGCTTAGAATTTTTATTCTTTCCGCCGCATCCACTTTATAAGCATAAATCCAAAAAAAGCTTCTGCCAAAATACTTTCCCGAACCCAAAAGTAAGAAAAACCAAAATCGTGTTCCCTTTTTTGTTTTATGGCTTTTCGATACAAATTGCTTTTTCCTGGATTCCACGCTATAAAAATAATGGATTCAATAGCCTCCCACGCCAGTGTTCCTTCAAATATTTGCTCTGCTCAATATTTTTTTCTTGGCTCCGCCCCTTCACACCTATTTTCTCCATTCACCTGGTCTCAATTATGGCTCGTTTTAGGAGGATGAAAGGGTGTGCGATGAAGATATTCTTATTTTTAATTTTAATCGCTATGGCTGTGTTTGGGTACTTAATGATGTATTCTCCAGAAATATTCGTGGCTTTTGAAAAAGTGACACCAACGCCAGAGACGGAGCAGAGTTTGAAAGATCGTATATGTCCGTATCCGCTGTTGATAGGTGGGTTTCGGAATTTCTTATTTATGAGAATTCAACGTTCGCGGCCCAGATTTGCTTTAAAGGGACTAAAAAATCAATGAATTTAGTTTTTAAAGGGATTGGCAAGACGTAGAGGTGGATTTTTGCTATATCTATTGTCTATGGATTTACCGCTCCGCGGCACGCAACGCAGACGCTGCTCTTGGTTCATATTACGAAATCGTAACCCATTATGCCATGTAAAGCCGTGGTGCGCCTTGCGCGTCGCATGTGCGACAAAATACATTCGTAATCCAGAACGAAAAAATCCATAAACATGCCTTGCACGTTCCTTTAAAGGCGTGACACCAGAATTTTAATGGAACGACCTCAGGTTTTATAGATTTTCGCTCCCTATGTTTCTCTCTATCTCTCTCTCTCTCTTTCTTTCTCTTTCTCTCTCCCTCTCTCTTCCCCTCTCTTTTTCTTTTTCGCTCGCTATCCATCTTAATACATATTTTAGATGAAAAAGCCCTCAAATCCAACAACATTCGATTAAACCAGAGCCACCTATGGCTGGCCTACGATGAATTCTGCCCAATTCGAAGAATGTGTATGCCTTGACCTGTCCTTTAAAAACGCACAATTTCTAGCCAATCCCTATAAAAATACATATGTCCACTTCTCGAACATCACTAGCGAAAATTATATAGAATTTGCGCTTGGAGAGAGATTATTACCTAGGTAAGTCCAGGAATTTACATCATAACTTTTTATTCCCATGTTTTTTTAGGTTCATTGAATTTGAAAAGCATCCCACTGAGGCATTGATGGTCCCAAAAAATATTCCCGAATTTTTGAGATTCTGGAACATGTCCAAAGTTGTGAAGTGCAAGAATTATAGTAAGTGTTTATAACATTTAAAACATACAAGTCTATTTAAATGTATTTAAATTTACTTAAAACTGTTGAAAACTTATGCAAATTTGCAGATATGCATCGATCAATCGGTTCTAAAAATGAGACGCTCCGGCTTTATTATGAAAGTAGGCCAGTTGTTTCTCTTTCTCTCCCTCTCTCTCTCTCTCGCTCTCTCTCTCTCTCTCATTTTTCTTTTAGCCAGAGGCCGCACCATTTCAAAATCCCGGATCCCCGAGATTTGGGAGTTGCAGCGGAAAATGCAAAAATTTGGGATGAATCCAATGCTGATTTTTGGGTCGTTATTAGGTAAAAAGAGTACCTTAAGTATTTTTATCAGATTTTAGGTTGGTATCGAGAATGTACAATATTACCATCCACTAATGATATGGATTTTGCAATACGGTAATAGCGAGAGAGAGAGAGAGAGAGCGAGAGAGCGAGAAAGAGCGAACAAGAGAGACAAAGGATCTAATTCAGCATTCAGAGTCTCCGAATTTCACCCCGAATTTTGGCCGTACCTCGAAAACGGCACTAATATTTATCCGTTCCAGCTGACGAGACGGCTGGGAAAAGTAAGAAATTTTCTATCACTGTCAAGCTGTTTAAAAGTTCACCTTTATTTGTCTGCCCTTTAAATTGAAAAATTCCGCATTTTTCTCGAGCTAAAGGCCAATTCGGGCGATGGGCAAATAGCAGATTCTAGCCTGTCGGTGTTGATACAGCCGGGCAAAGATTGCGAGAACGGGCGGGGGATCTTGGTCCGCCAAATTTTGGTCTAGAGAGTCTAGCGTATCTGCATGGGAATTCCTAATGTTTATAAACATCAAAAATTATTAAGGGTTTTAAAAACTCGAGGGCGCCGGCAGAGTTCGGTAGAAGTATTTTGATATTTTGAAATACGGTGGCCAAATAGCAGAGATCATTTCGGAATGGCTTCTAAGGTAGGCCAGCGAGCAGCGTTTCTTTGGGAACGCTTCTAAAACGGCTAGAGGCAAGCTAGCAGAGATCTTTTAGGATTCTTCTAGCGGGTGGTGGTTAGCTAGCAGAGCTTGTTTGAGAGCCATCCAGCACGGTGGAGGCAAGCTAGCAGAGATTCTTTGAGAAGGCGCTTGGTGGGACAGGCAGACTAGTAGAAGACAAGGTTATCTGGCACAAAAGCAGCGCAAACGTAAAAGCGCGCAAAAATACCCTTTTCAGCTCCCGGACAGCCTCGAATTCACGCTAAAGCACAAGATCGAGGGCTTTACTGTCGATTTATTCTTCCTCTACGATGACAAGAATATTACTTACATAGCCTCACAACATGGAAATTTGAAACGAGTTCGATTTGTGTATCCAAGGTGGGATAATTTAATGATTAAAATTAATTTTTCTGTAAATAAGCTATTTAATTTAATCACGTAAATTAACCAAATGTCAGACCCAAAAATTATTTAGGGAGTTATTCGAAGAAACCTGCTCCGCCGAGCTACATGGACACATTTTCTATGTGCCCTGCCGAGCCGAAGAGGTTATTGAGGTCATTTAATATTAAATTTACCAAAATTTTACTTTTACTTTAGTTAAATAGTTTTTACTTTATTAAAATTAATTTTATGTTTCTTTCTAGCAAGAATACAACAAAACATGGACCAAAGAAATCGTCGCCGAGAAATTCGCGTGGGCCGCCGTGCTAAACAAGGAGGATTTTGGGAAATGGGACTCGAAGGAACGGCAGGATGTCGAGAAATTCTACTGATCTCACCAATATTTTATGTTTTCCAATTTTGGGTGTATTTAATGCGGGTATTAAAATATAATAGGAAGAACTTCGACAATAAAATGTTTTAATACCTTTTTTGGATCTTTAGCTAGGTTTTTAACTATTATTACATTGCATTTTAAGAGCATTTTTAAATCGAATAACCGCATACCTTGGTGGTATCGACATTTCCGTAGACGAAGATTTGGATGAGAATTCAATCTCGCTCATCCGCTGCCTCGGGTCCAGAGTGACCGAGATGATCGAAGTACGGGGGTTTCGGGATTCCGAAGTCATTACGCTAGCTAAATCGGGAGCTACAGTATGCCTCAAAAAAGTATTCAGACGTTTCGCGAAACAAATAAAAAATGATTTGAAAGCTGAAAAACCCAATATAACAATTGTTCAGCCATTTAAAAGGCGCTGAAACAGCCTTGAATTTTTAAATTGGACCCTTAAAAGCGTATATGTAAAATATGCAAATGAGCGGAGGAGTGTAAACCGTAGAGGACTTTTCACCTAGCATGGGGCGTCAGGTTGGAGCGAGTCGAATTTCCGGATGGATTTGATCGCTCTCCCTTCTTGTCCATTCATCCCCACAGCTGCCCTCAATCCCTAAGCTCCCCCCCCCACACTTCGAGCACCAGCTCGTCGCACACCATTTGTGGAGGGGGAATACATACACTACGCGACGGTACGCTTGACAGGGTGCTTAGGCTTTACTTGAAGCTTCAAAAGCCGGAAAAAACACAGATCTGATAAAAAATAAAGTTAATTACAGTACCAACAATGCTACGTACGAGTACGAAACTGTACGCTTAAAACTCGTGGATTTTAGAAACGATTTGAGCTTCAGAAGCCGGATACGCCGGATGTGGACCTAAAATAAAATTGAAAATTTTAATTTATATATCGTAGTATGACGTATGAGTGCGAGACTATACGCTTAAACGGGAAAGTTTTATGATAGCTGTGATTTGGAGTTTCAGAAGCTGTAGACGCTTTCTGTGGATCTGAAAAAAAACCCTCTACGAGTTAACTACGGGAGACTGTGTATTCCTGCAAGCTAATATTTGCTATATTAACAATTCAATTTCTAAATGGCATCCCATTACGACCTTTCAATATCTCTGCTGATCAATATACGTTAAAAGGCCTATTATCAGTCAAGATTTTAAAAACTTCATTTCATATGCTCCTCTTTCCGCGTAAAAGCTGGCCCTTTTCGCGTCACACAACAACACGTGGAATCAGTTAGTCAACACTGCCCCGCAAAAAAGCGGCGACTTGCCCCCCGCTTACCCTCTCTCTTGCCCTCTTCCAATCTCTTGGAAAAGAGAACACATTTCCCGCCGCAATAAATCGCGTAATCAATCCCTGACCGCTATTTACCGTCGTTTTTAAGGATATTATCGATAATTCGGCTTATTAAATATTGCTAGTTTAGCTGCCTCAACGACGACACAAAGATGAGTAAGTTTTTTTTAATTTAATGAAATCAATGTTAATTATGAAGTCTAATTAAGGAACGGAAAGTTCTGTTTTTCGCAATTTTCGTGGCATTTTTCACTTTTGAGGGATCAAAAGGTACCTAATGGACGGCTTTTTAAATTCATTCCCGCCATTTATTAGTGCGCTGATTCGATATTAATGCGTACGCGAAAAACATTTGGCCGCAAGGTTATTGACGGCAGGATTATGATAAGGTACCGCCTTTGAGGAGACATTCTGGGAAACATTTTACGAATTTAAGATTTTTGGTTTTCCATCGCCTTAACTTCAGCCCATTTCAGTCTCCGCGCTCGCATGTCTCATGGAGCTACCGATAGTTCTTGGATTCCTAGCCGCATTTCTGCCTCTACTCGTCTATGCCGCTCAAAAACCGCAAAAACGAAGGTGAGAAATTCAAGGGAGTCGGACCACCCCCCTTTTATCATGCTAAATAGCCAACCAAGATCGCAACCCAACCGCGCGCGCGCTTTGACATTTTTTTGGGCGCTGAAAAGCGTAAATAGCCGAATTCCTATGTGAATTCTTGTATCTTCGGGCGATTTCGAACATTCTAGCTCCTTTAGCTTACAAAATTGACCCAGGATCCCATGATTTACATAAACTTGGAAGTGCTAGCCCGCATTACGACATGTAATTCACGAGCGCTAAAAACTCGGTATTGACGCAAAAATTCGCCTTTGCCTAGACCCATTTTCAATTTTCTCAATTTACTCAATTTTCCGGCATTTTCATACGGTAGCCATTAGGATTTTTTACGCAAAAATTTTGCGCTGCAAACGGGTAGCCATGTTTTACTCGTCATTTTCAAAAAGCAAAAATTGCTTTCAGAGGCGCTCGTGGCAATGAGTTGCCCTTCCTCTCGTGCAGCGGTTGCTGGCTACCATATAGCAAAGGAAATAGTGCATCCCGAACCCCGATGATGCTGGCCAACGGCACCATCCGATGTTCCCGCTGCGTCCAATACAGCGGGCCCACAGCCGCGAAAAAAGCTGAATTCATCACCGAGCTTCTCTCCTCCGCACCAATCGAGCTAGAAACCGGAAGCTGGTTCTGGATCTGTCGGTTCTTTCCGCTGAATTGTCGCAGCTGTCTGGGGACAGAGAATCTGATCGTACTCTCCTGCGGCCACATAAGCTGTGAGGGCTGTCGACGTCGTTGTTTGGAGTGTGGATATGGGACTCGAGCCGAACCGGAGGGGGAGCTAATACGGTTTTATGAAGCGTATGCTAAGGTAGGGATTACGAATTTTGATCAATAATCCTACTATATATAAAAAAATAGTGTCTGTGTGTGTGTGTGCATTTGCATGCAACTTCCGTCCGTATGTTCCAATCGTATCTCAATAGGAGAGGAAGTTAAGGGTAGGTATGATACGTCATTAGATGCGTAATGGTCATGACACGACTGCACGCATATGAGATTTGTAAAAATCAGCTGTTTTCGATATTAAAATTAAGTTTTTGTGAAAATCTAGCTCGGCCTCTTTGTTAGGAATCAATTCGCATACACCGGAAGTGGGGGCAGCCTATATAATGGGGGAGAGGACGCGTTTTTGATTTTTCTGCACAGGAATTCAGGTGTTTATGCAAAGTGATAGAAGTATTAGGGT